GCTTTGAGGCCATGGCCGGTAATTTTCGAACAAATGTATATTACCGTGTTTTGAAATGGATTGGTATTTGAATAGTTCGAAGGATGGCGCTACGATTTCCAATTTCATTGATCTATCAGCTGGATAGATCTACATTGATTTGATCGGCCATTTTCTATAAGTTGTCAATTTGTCATCGCGTATTGTAGTTAAGATTTTCTGTGATTGTTTATATATAATTATGTTTTGGTGAATACTTTTTTCATTTATTATTAAGTTAAAATGATAAAGTGTTATGTGCCAATTTGTTATAACCCCAAATATAATAAAAAAATGCATGTCTTTCCGGCATCTAATTATCAGGTATGTATATAATGATGTATTATGCATATAATGAATATGTATCATCACAATACTATTAAAATGTTATATATATATATATATATATATATATATATATACATATTTGTGTAAATATATTGAAATGTGACGGCGTGGTTGTTGACTTGGTTGCTTCTGGGTCCTTCTAGCTATGTAGGGGTAATCCTAGCAACCCAAGATCAACTCGTCCACAGATATATGATAAGCGGGGTACTGGTTTTATAAGTCTCCTCGGAACGGGGGTGGTTTTCCTAGAGGTATTAGCTGGAAGACTTGGTGTAAATAAAATACAAGCTCTTCCGTAATTATAACCACTTTATTGAACAACACTAACAATATGACATTCACTGTCTAATAAACTAGAGTCACTTACAGTGTCTAGGATTTTACTGACTGTCTAACTTTTGTCTAACTCTTATATACTAATTTATTGTTTACAACCTATTTACAAAATCCAACAGTAAGCACTTCCGATGTCCGCGTAACCTACATATAACTAGCAACGCGTTTTGTAATTATTAAACAAAATAATGATTCGAATTGTTATTACAGTTCAATATATTATATATATTTGTGTGTAAAAATTTGTGTGTAAAAAGATGCTTTCAATTTGGATGCAGAGGGCGAATAATCTTTTAATGGATGACCTAACTCTTCGGTTTGTGACACAAATCAACGATAATTTGAAATCGAAACCAAATAGAAGTGTCTCCTTTACGGCAATAACAGAATAGTTTTCAAGTCACTGGAGAATGCTCTGATACAGAACCAGAAGAAAAATCTGCAACTCCAAGGACAAAGCCAAGTAATTATAACTCTAAATACTTCAATAACATTTGCAAAAAAATATTAATAAATGAATCTTATGTTCTTAGGAGATGGAAGCCTAAACACCTTGAAAAAGATTTTTGCAGCACCTCTAAGATTGTGAAGTGCAGGTTAAATGTCACCTATTCTGACACCAGTTTTCCGAAAAGGTATTTTTTCATACTAATTGCAGCAAAAATATTTAATATGATAATTACTATATCTTCAATTAATATGATATAACAATATATTCAATAGAAGTCCTTGATGGTAGCTGCAAATTGCCGCAGAATGCAATGATAAGGCGTAGGAGTGCCTTAACACCCAGAAGATGTATGATACATCAAATTTTGTTTCGGGATTAAAATGCAATGCAATAATTTAAAGGATAAATTCCAACAGAGTATACAATGTTCTGAGAAGTTTTCAAATATTCCGGAAACTTAAAATGTAAGGGCAAGAATTTTGATAATGTCTCAATTAAGAGAGCATACTCAAAGACCAGACAGTTTATAAAGCGCAAGGGTTTAGTTATAGTTTTAACTAAACCTCCTTGCAATAAAAACTGGATTAAAACGATAGATACATTTGAGCTACAATTGGTATAAATTAAAAGTAGTTCAGGGTTTTGGTTACTTACGTTTAAAAAAACACTTATACAGAAACTATTCAAAGATTTCGTCAAATATAACTTTATTAATGATTGATTAGATAGCAAAATAACTATTAAATGGAGAGATAACAAACAAGAATGTCTCGTAAATGAATTTTAATCCTAGGAATTTAGTTTTATCTCAATTTGGATATCAATATATATATATATATATATATATATATATATATATATATATATTTTGTTTTTAGGATTATTTTGTTTGGAAAGTATTCATTCTTTTTTAAAAATGTGCTGTTCTTTTTATCCTTTTAAATTATTGCATTACTTGTCATTCCTTCTAAATTTGTCATTCCATCATCAATACTCCTGTGCTTTTTACTTCTTAGTTTTTAAGTTTTTAATATATTATTATTAGTCATTAAGTAATTAATATGAATAAGTTATTTCTAGAATATTAATAAAATAAGTACTTTAAAAATATGTCTGTAATATACTTTAATTAATAGTAGTCAGTTATTTCTGTTTAGTTTATAATTCTTCAAAAATATGTCTGTGATATATTTGAAAATATATTTTGTATTTCGTATGTTTTGTTCTTATTTCAAATAATTTTTTTCAGATTTTTGGGCTGTATTGATTTTATGTACAAATGTAGAAGTAATACCAGGGGTTAATTTACATACTGTATGTACATGTGCTGCCATGTAGTGATCTATTCGTAAATTAAAATGAGTGTAACGTCAAATGGCCCGAGATAGCGATCTATTTATGCTTATTTATCTATGTTTGAGGCGTTTGTTTGGAATTATTCGCGTTCGTTCGTGTTCCTGTTCGTTCTTCTTTGTATTTTCATGTTCGACATGTTTGTTCGTGTTCGTTCGTTAGGTGTGGACGCACCTTTTGAGGCGTTTGTTTGGAATTATTCGCGTTCGTTCGTGTTCCTGTTCGTTCTTCTTTGTATTTTCTTGTTCGACATGTTCGTTCGTGTTCGTTCGTTAGGTGTGGACGCACCTTAAGAAATTACTGAACACACAGAACACGTGACTGTCGTGACTTGAGCACGACCACAGAGTAATATGAATAGATGCACTCACTCGACTAGGCGCAGGTCTGCCAACGGAGGCGAAATGTCAATGGCGCCAGATTCAAGTTCATCTTTTGCGGAGTGAAATGCTAGTACAGAAATCGCCTTATATTGAGCTTGGCTAATATAATATGTCGACAACTGTAAATCTGTAAATAGTGTTTATATTAAAATAAATTATATTTTATAACTTCCCAACTTAACGTATTAACTTAAGTTATTGTAATCGTCCAAAAATTGAAATTGAAATTTTTTGCATTTCTCGACGTTTTGAAGGTTACTGAACATTTTGGCATACCTCAGAAAAAATAGATGTGTGTGTATGTACACTCGACTAGGCGCAGGTCTGCCAACGGAGGCGAAATATCAATGGCGCCAGATTCAAGTTCATCTTTTGCGGAGTGAAATGCTAGTACAGAAATCGCCTTATATTGAGCTTGGCTAATATAATATGTCGACAACTGTAAATCTGTAAATAGTGTTTATATTAAAATAAATTATATTTTATAACTTCCCAACTTAACGTATTAACTTAAGTTATTGTAATCGTCCAAAAATTGAAATTGAAATTTTTTGCATTTCTCGACGTTTTGAAGGTTACTGAACATTTTGGCATACCTCAGAAAAAATAGATGTGTGTGTATGTATGGATACAATTTTTCGCCCACGTTTTCGAGCGCACGAATCAACCGATTTGAATGGTTCAAAAACATTCGATTCCTATTGTTAGAGAGATGTGATGATTAGTTTTTGGCAAAGGCAGATCCAGCCGTTTCTGAGATACCGAGCTAAATGTTCAAAAAATTGCAGTTTTTGAGAGTAATAAACATCCGATTTAAATGATTCAAAAAACTTTCTGCTTGTGTTGACAAAACGATCGTTTTGGAAAAAAACGTCGATTTACGGCACTGATGGCACAAAATCTGTTCACACACACACAAACCTACTTTTTCCAAATTTGGTGGCATTCGATACAGAATGGCTAGAAACGTCGAGAATCGAATTTTTTGATGAAAACAAACTTCTCCTTCGGGAAGTTAATAAGCGAGTAATGTTTAGAATGAATTTGAAACAGTATCATTTTATTTGATGTTGATTATTGTGCTGATTACCATTTAGATCCATACTTGAATAAAACACTTGAAAAAAATGGTTGAATAGAACATGTACTAGGTTATTGGTGCCATATTAAATCAATTACATTGGTGTTCTTGACCAGATTCATTGCATAGTGCAGTATCCTTAAATCCTTCGTATTGATATATCATTTAAGAAATAATAACAATAACAATAAATATCGTCTCTTTCTATTTCTGTAACTTATATATTGTAAGTACAAGTTTAGAAGCAATAATTTTCTCTAAATCCAACAAAAGAAGCACTCCACATAGCAATATACAAGTGTCCAATGAAGGGAAAAAATTGAATGGAAAAATAACGTCAAATACCTGGGTATTACACTGAATCAGAAATTAACTTTCACTAAGCACATCAAAAACAAACTAAATAGTGCTTATGGTGCATTGAACGCACTGAAATCTATACTTCACCGAAATAGTGTCCTGAACACAAAAAACAAGAAGCCTATATATCTTATATTAATAAGACCAATAAATACTTATGCGTCACAAATCTGGATCACTACATACAATAATCCTAAATGAACACATAGTCCCGATTACCAAACACTTTAAATTCAATAAATACCTTCACGGAAAATCTAATCATCAACCGATAAAAGATACCATTCTGAATATGACGGCGAAATTCTTTGAAAACTGCAAAAACAGCCCAAACCCAATTATAAAATACCTGGGAAGACATTCCAAGCTTTCGATGCGAACGGACGTGTGTGCGTGAGCTCTCGAATAGATATATTGTATGTGTATAATTCTTAAACAATACTTTGTATATATCATTCAAGTGTTGTCCTTTGTGAAGTGACTATAGTGAAATATAATTTAAATACAAGTTAATTTAATACAATAGTTTGAATACATTTTTAAATATTATATGTTCCCTTCGGGGGAACATATTAGGAAATATAGTGTTATTCCTCCTGAAACGAATGAAATAATTAATCATGAATCAGTCTTCCAACATGAAATGAATATTTTTAAAAGATTTAACAATATGAATAAACAAAATTTACCTCAGGAAAAATCTTTGGATATGGATGTTAACCATAATCAACATCTAAACATGACTGAAAAATCTTTGGATATGGATGTTAACCATGATCAACATGTGAACATAACTGAAGATACAACATATACCAAGTATGCTCATGCAAATAAGTTTAGTGCATTATCGGACGATTCTTCAGATACTGAGGTTGAATTTGTAGAAGTACAAAGTAGAAAAAGAAGAAAATCCCAATCAACCCAATTTAATCTACCCAAATCTATAAATCCCAATTCATCAACTGCAAAAACCAACAGTAAAATGCCGCCAATTATAGTGAGAGACAAATTGCCGCACATTAACTATTTTAAAGACTTGAGAAACATTACAAGTGAACATACTATAATACAGTATAGAAGTCCTAATAATTCTGCAATATATACATTCAATGACAAGGACCATGATGTAATAATGAAAAAATTAACTGCTGATAAGTTACAATATTATACTTATCCTAAATCGAATTTAAATAAAATAAAACTGGTATCAAAAGGCATTCCACCTTTTGTTGAAAAAGAAGAAATAATTGATTACTTACAAAATAAAGGAATCAAAACTAGAAATATAATTCAAATGACTAAAACAGTAGAGAAATCTAAATATAAACTGCCTATACATATAATTATACTAGAACCCGAACAGAATATTAACGATATTAAAAGACTAAACCATGTCATGGGATATAAAGTTACATGGAAAAAATTAATTTCAAGTGGCAACAATATTTTACAGTGTTACAGATGTCAGAATTTTGGTCATACATCTGCGTACTGTAACCTTAAATTTAGATGTGTGAAATGCAGAAGTGATCATCAACCTGGAAAATGCGAGAAACGTGTTGATCAAGCACCCGAATGTGTAAACTGTGGGATGGAACATCCGGCTAATTATAAAAAGTGCTTGTATCTTGAAATAATTCACAAACGTACTAATAATCAAATAAAAAGGTCAAATCAGATAAGTACAAATAATATTAGTTATGTGATGGCACCCAAACCTAAACCTCTAACGAGACCATTTTCTGAAATGTTTACAAACAAAAGTTTTCCAACACTTTCTTCCCACATTCCTACAACTAATCAATCCAGTAGACATACTGATAACTCCTCTAATCATCCTAATAACTCAAATCCCAACCTAAATTTAAATGAAATGTTACAAACTATTAATGAATTAAAAATACTGTTTTCTGACAATACCGTCAAAAATACAATAAATATGTTACTGAATCTTGCTAAGGATATTAAAAATACTACCTGCGAGAAAGATAAACAAATGTTAGTATTTCAATGCTTTCTAACATTATGTACATAAATAGAGATAACATGAATATTATGTATTGGAATGCAAATGGCATTACTAAAAATACTATTGAATTGAATGATATTTTATTGAATCATGATATTGATATTGCGTTAATTTCTGAAACTCTTTTAAAACCTAACAACAAAATTTATATTCCTGGATTTAAAATAATAAGAAGAGACATTTCAAATTCTGGACAAAGAGGTTTATGTGTGATCATTAAAAATGGTATTAAATTTAGTAGAGTTCGAATCCCAAATTTACAAGCTGCTGAAGCAGAAGCAGTAAATATTATTCTAGACAATCAGATTACTACTATATGTGGAGTTTATTTTCCATGCAATAGATTATTATTATCCGATTTAAAAACATTACTGAATTTAAATGATAAAATTTTAATTGCAGGCGATTACAATTCTAGACACGAGTTTTGGAATTGTATCAACAAAAACTCTAACGGTAAAAAACTATATAAGTTTCTAAGTGATGATATTAATTCTGTTACATTGCATTATACTGTTTCTCCGACCAGATTTCCTGTAAATGAACTCCAAACATCATCTATTATTGATCTAGCTTTAACTAAAAATATTTACACAAATTATTTACCATTTACTATAACAGAAACTAATTCAGATCATAATCCTGTTATACTACCTATACCATACAATAGCATACAAAATTACACAAATCCACATTATAATATGAAGTACAATTTTAAAGAGGCAAACTGGAATAAATTTCGATCCTATATAAATGAAAATATTATGATTAATAAAACCATTAATAACACCAAAGAAATTGATGAATCAATTACGTGCTTAACAAATAACATTCACACGGCGATGAATAAGTTTATTCCTAAAGTTAGTACTATTAATTCATTTTCCCTTCCCAATCACATATTAGATCTAATCAAATATAAAAATAAAATACGAAGATTTTGGCAGAAAACTAATAATTCTGAAGCAAAGGTACTATTAAATAAATTAATTAAGGACATAACATTTAAAATTAAAGAGCACAAAAATAATATTTGGAGTGATGAACTAAGGAAATCAAATTTAAATCACAATAATATATGGTTTTATGCTAAAAAATTCACAAAGAAACGTGAAAATATCCCTAATCTAAAATTAAATTCTTTATATGTATCTGATAATAAAGAAAAAGCTAATTTAATAGCTGATGTTTTTGAAAAAACACACAAGCAAAATGATAATTTAGGGAATGCTAACTTTAGTAATCACGTCCATAGAACAATCAATTCGATATTCCCAACTTCCAGTAATATAATCTCAAATATTAAATTCACTACTCCTAAAGAAATAAAAACTATTATAAAAAATAGAAAATCGAAAAGCACCCCAGGTCCATATGGAATATCGAATATTATATTAAAAAATCTTAGCAGAAAACCTATTATTCTAATTACTAAAATCATTAACAGCATTTTAAAACATGGTTATTTTCCACCAATTTGGAAAATTTCTAAAACTATACCCACTAGTTACAGGCCTATCAGTTTATTAAGCCATTTGAGTAAAATACTGGAAAAAGTTATATGTAATAGAATTGATGAATTTTTAACAAATAATAATGTGATACCAAATAATCAGTTCGGATTCAGAAAAAACCATTCCACCCTCCATCCTAACAGAACAAACCATCCTTAATTTTAACAGAAGAAGAAATAGTGCCTTAGTTCTTCTAGATATAGAAAAGGCATTTGATACAGTTTGGTTTGATGGACTAATTTATAAAATGAATGCTCTAAATTTCCCCAAATATTTGATTTGTCTAATTAGAAATTATTTAATTAATAGAAAATTTTATGTTAGTATATACAATTGTAAATCTACATGTAGAGCCATTACAGCAGGTGTGCCTCAAGGTAGTATTTTAGGACCGATTTTATTTTCCATTTATACATATGATATGCCTACAAAAATCAACACGCAATTATTAATGTATGCGGATGATACTGTAATTTTCACTTCGAGAAAATCAGATAAAGCAATCATTAAGAAATTACAAAGTCATTTGAACCAAATTATAAAATACACAAATAAATGGAAAATAAAAATAAATATTGACAAAACAGAATCTATATTCTTTACCAAAAGAAGAATTAATCCTACACCCAATATAACCTTGCATCTTAATAATAATATCATACCATGGAGTAGTTCTGTTAAATATTTGGGTGTCATCTTAGACAGAAAACTTAATTTCAATAAACACATTAGTAATAAAATAATTAAATTAAAAAATTCAATATACATATTATACCCATTGCTAAATTATAACAGTTATATTAATATTGAAAATAAAAAAAGAATTTATATGGCAATAATTAGATCCGCAATGATATATGCTTCCCCTATTTGGTGTATGACAAACAAACATAATATTAAGAAACTACAATCAATACAGAATGTTTCATTAAGATTTGTTATAGGTCAAGCAAGAAATCCAATAAATATGCATTATATTAGCACAAAATTCCTACATGATTCCACTAATGTACCATTAGTGAGAGATTTTATAACAATTATCTCTGAAAGATTTTATACTAATTGTTTATTTAACTTTAATCCTAATATATGTAATATTGGATCGAACGACAATACATATTGGTACAATAAGTACAAGCTACCATCATCAATAAAAAGATAATCAAGTATAAAATATGACAGAGATCAAATTACTCTTAAACTATTCCTACAGCATATGTTATTAGTCTTTTGACTATATTTGAATCATATATGTAATATGTATTTTTTTGTTATTATTATTGTAAATATGGTTTTTAGTGATTATTTTTACCATGATTAAAAAATTATTTATAGGTTAATTTAATTTTTATTAGTTAGTATTAAATATAAGTTTATGTATTTATATCTTAGGATAGGTATACATGTTTATTAAATTGTATAGAAATATGTATGTATAATCTAATATAAATGAAATAAATAAATCTTTAAAAACTAAAAACTAAACCTGGGAAGAATTACTGGTAATGGTACGGTAAATACGCCTCGCCAAACCACTTGATAGAGGAGCAGTATTCCAAATGATGTAGTCACACCTAGTCATTATAATATATTTCAGTTAGTTTTAAGAAGCATTAGTTTTATCTCTAGTTATAAGTTGTGATGTAACGAATAGTGTTTTTTGTTTCATATTTTTCACTTACTGTTAACATTGTCCTTAATCAACATATATAAATTGCAAAAATACCTATTTGGTAGAAATGCATAATGTATTACACTCGACATTGTACCACATATTGATTGAAAAATAGAAATTTATCAAGTCAAGTCAGTCATTTGAGAAATAACCCTCCGTCGGTCGGCGTGGTCTGGCCAGACTTTTTTCGACTTCAATTAAAAATAAAAATACTTCTAGTAATCCTATCGACTTGAAATTTCTTGACTTTGCCTAAAATTTCATTAGCTGTCGATCAATGAAAAAATCAGGACGAAAAAATGTACAGAAGGATAATTATAAGGATATTAACTTTTTTATACTTCTGCAGCGACACTAGCTCTCCTACTATTAAAAAATAGTAGTAAAGAGCTACACTAGCCTCCACACTATTAGGGACCCTAATGTGTGGAGGGGGTCAAGCTAACAGGTATAAAACCAAAGCAGCTACCTTTCTCGACCTCTTTTCTCTTCTACTGGTCGAGCAGGCAACACCTAGGAAAACTACGGAGTCCAACCGAGGAATACCAAGAATACCGAGAATACCAGAATTCAACCAAGAAGATTTTGTAAATTATTATAATTTTGTAATAAACTTTATTTTTCATTTATAGTGTCTTGATTTTTATATGTGGGACCACCCCACATAATTGGTGACCCCGACGCTGAATTGGACCACATAATTGGTGTGAGCTGAATTACTATAGAGCACTATCCGTACAGAAGACATGCAGGACACTAAAGGGGAACTGGACGCAATCTCACGCACTCCGCATCTACCGCCATTTTTGAGTGAGAAACCGACATTGTGGTTCACAATAGCCGAAGCAATATTTTCTCGATGCCGCATCATCAATGACCTGGCCAAATATGAATTTGTAATAGCTCACCTAGATTGCAAATATTTACTCCAGATAGAGGACGTGATAAATTCTCCGCCTGCAGAGAATAAATACATAAAACTAAAGGAGGAATTAATCAAAAGGCTATCAATTTCCGAACGGCAAAGGATAAGACAATTACTTTTGCAAGAAGAACTTGGTGATCGAAGTCCTTCTCAGTTCTTACGTCACCTTCGTTCATTGGTCGGAACAACTACAGTCGACAATTCACTCCTACGAGAAATCTGGATTCAACGACTACCGGTACAGACTCAATAAATATTGCAAACCCAGATCAAAGCAGACCTAGAAGAACTTGCATCGCTCGCCGACAAAATATGTGAGATTGCACAACCGCCAGTAGTCGCAGCAACTAGTAACAACCAACAGCAAGACATCATACAAAAACTAATTGATAAAAATGATCAACTAACACAGCGTGTGGGATCTTACAGAGCAATTAGCCAAGTTCACCTATCGTAGCAGACTCAACCTATCAGCAAATAGAAACCGTAGCCCATTTCGACAAGACAGGTCTAACCACTTCTTCAGGCCGAGAAGTACTTCTAGATCGCGCAACCGTAATACATTCTGTTGGTACCACGCCAAATTCGGAAAGAAGGCAAGAAAATGCGAGAGTCATTGTTCGTTCAGAGAGGAAAACTCCAACGGCAAGGAGTGATGGCGACCTATCCTTGCTCTTCATCTAGCCGTCGCCTCTTCATAAGTGATCGCAGAACTAAGGTACAGTTTTTGGTCGACACAGGTTCAGACGTTTGCGTGTATCCAAGGCGCTTAACTGCTAAACCTAATCCTCAACTAAACTATACTTTGTCTGCAGCCAATGGAACCAACATACGCACGTACGGGGATATTATTTTACAATTAGATTTTGGACTAAGAAGAAATTTTACTTGGAGATTCATCGTAGCAGATGTAACAATGCCTATACTTGGAGCAGACTTTTTAGCGTACTACAATATCATTATCGATATAAAGAATTCTCGTCTACATGACAACCTGACATCACTGTCATCTCCAGGATGTGTCACATTCTCTCGGATACAAAGTGTCAAGTCTATATTTGGAGATAGTGCATACAATAAATTATTAGCTGATTTTCCATCCATCACCAGACCATCAGGCTTGTGTCAAGAAAGCAAACACAAAACATTTCATTATATTAGAACCACTCCAGGACCTCCAGTTTCTTCTAGACCACGGCGCCTCAAGCCAGAATTACTTCGCGTAGCCAAAGAAGAATTTAAGAATATGGTAGAATTAGGCATTGCAAGACCCTCCGATAGTTCTTGGTCTTCACCTCTACACCTGACACAGAAAAAGGATTCGACGTGGCGTCCATGCGGAGATTATCGGCTGCTAAACTCACGCACAATTCCAGACAAATATCCTGTTCGTCATATTGCGGACTACGCCCACAATTTAGCAGGATGTACTATATTTTCAGTGATAGACTTAGTGAAAGCCTTTCAGCAAATTCCAGTCCATCCTGATGATATTGCAAAAACAGCAATTATAACACCATTTGGGCTGTTTGAGTTCCCGTATATGACTTTTGGATTAAGGAATGCAGCACAAACATTTCAGCGATTTATAGATGAGGTTACACAAGGTCTGGATTTTTGTTACGCATACCTAGATGATATTCTTATATCATCTACATCGCTAGAAGAACACCAAGATCATCTCCGCCAATTATTTCAACGCCTGAAAGACCACGGCGTTGTCATAAATCCATCGAAATGCGTATTAGGTGCACCCAAAGTTACATTTCTTGGTTATGAAATTTCTAAAGATGGAACTTTGCCACCACAAGACCGTATCAACGATCTCCAAGAATATCCGCTACCGGCAACCTACTCAAAGCGTCGCTTCATAGGAATGATTAATTACTATCGAAGGTTTATTCCTCACATAGCTGAATTTCTTGCTCCGCTACACAAGTTGCTCTCAGGATCTACCAAATCTGGATCACAAGCAATTTCTTGGACTCCACAGCTTCAAGATAACTTCGAGACCTGTAAGAAAGAACTGGCTAAAGCAACATTACTAGCACACCCTGTTCCAAATGCTCAAACAGCATTATTTAGCGATGTATCCAACCATTCTATCGGTGCAGTATTACAGCAGTACATCAATGGCACTTGGCAACCCTTGGGCTTCTTTTCAAAAAAACTATCTGAGAAACAACTATGGCCAGCATATTATCGAGAACTTTTGGCTGGTTACGAAGCTGTGCAACATTTTCGAAGCTTACTGGAAGGGAGACATTTCATTTGGTTTACTGATCACAAACCTTTAATTCACGCCTTTTCCCAACGAAAGGACAAGCTGCCGCCAATACAATTAAATCAATTAAGTTTCTTGTCGCAGTTTACAACAGATGTTCGCTATGTTAGTGGACAACAAAACATAGTAGCCGACGCCTTCTCAAGAGCAGAAGCCATAACATCGCCTTTGGATCACTCCGTTATTGCTAAATCGCAAGACGAAGATGAAGAACTGGTAACGCTCTTAAAATCAGATACTGCTCTCAACCTGAAACGCATCGCTGTTCCAGGAACCAAAGAACAATTATAGTGCGACATATCTCAAAATCGATTACGTCCTTATGTTCCTGCTGAACATAGACGACACATTTTTAATACTCTGCACAATCTATCTCATCCAGGCATAAAAACCACAACTAAACTCATCACGGATAGATTTGTTTGGCCTGGCATTCGCAAGGATTGCAGAACCTGGGCTCGAAGCTGCATCTCATGTCAACGCTCCAAAATTGGTCGGCATATAGTCACACCACTTGGAGAGTTCAAAGTGCCAACCGCCAGATTTCTGCATGTTCACATTGACATTGTCGGACCACTTCCACAATCAAAAGGCTTTAAATACCTATTTACCGCTATAGACCGTTACACACGCTGGCTTGAAGTTTTTCCTCTATCAGATATTACCGCAGAAAGTGTAACCTGGGCTTTCTTGTATTCTTGGATCTCACGCTTTGGTGTTCCATCTCAAGTAACAAGCGACCAAGGACGGCAATTCTGTTCAGCTGTTTTTCAAGGAGTAACCAAACTACTAGGAATTTCCCACATTCCTACAACAGCATATCACCCGCAATCGAATGGATTGATTGAAAATGCTCACAGGCCTCTGAAAACAGCCCTCATGTGCCATGCAGACCCGTCATGGATGGATTCTCTACCAATTATTTTATTAGGAATTCGAGCTTCTGTTAAAGAAGACATTAAAAGCAGCAGCGCCGAATTAGTATACGGAGAACCGCTTCGTCTACCTGGCGAATTTTTAATCAGCACACGCAAGGAGATACCAACAAGCGATTTCTTGAGAAACCTACATCGACATTTCGAAACAATACATCCAACTCCTACATCTGCACATGGATCGAAAAAGACTTTTGTACATAAAGAACTAAGTAATGCAAAATTTGTATTCCTTAGGGAAGACGCTCTGCGACCAGCGCTTTCTTGTCCATACAGAGGTCCGTATGAAGTCATAGATCGAAACTCCAAAACATTGAAAATTAAAATTGGAGAACGCAATGTAAGAGTATCCATCGATCGTGTCAAGCCCGCTTTCACGGCAGAAGACGACCAAAGTACAAGTCCAACTCCATCCAGCGCTACAGAACATACCTCCAATCAATATAGAACACGGTTTGGACGGGTAGTCCGTCCTCGCATCCAATAAAATTAATACAATTTTATTGACTCGCCAGGGGGGTATTGCAGCGACACTAGCTCTCCTACTATTGAAAAATAGTAGTAAAGAGCTACACTAGCCTCCACACTATTAGGGACCCTAATGTGTGGAGGGGGTCAAGCTAACAGGTATAAAACCAAAGCAGCTACCTTTCTCGACCTCTTTTCTCTTCTACTGGTCGAGCAGGCAACACCTAGGAAAACTACGGAGTCCAACCGAGGAATACCAAGAATACCGAGAATACCAGAATTCAACCAAGAAGATTTTGTAAATTATTATAATTTTGTAATAAACTTTATTTTTCATTTATAGTGTCTTGATTTTTATATGTGGGACCACCCCACACTTCGAACGGTCGGAAAGGTCTGTCTAGACCACCGATACATTTTGTATGAAATATACGCTTTTTGATATATGTAAACCAGTATTTTGTCTTTCTTCATGGTATTTTCTATTCAAACTGCGTTGTTTATATTCTTTGCTATGTGTTCTAACATGAATGTTAGTATTTTCATGAAGAGAGTTCCTTGAAAACCTACCAAACTTATTGGTAATCGCAAACACTGAAAATCGGATGAGTAATGCACACATTATCAACAATTTTTCTACTTGTACTGCGTTCGAAATTTTTTTTTGGTAAACCTGTAGTGAAATTATATTTTCACTTTGAGTTTTACAGCTCACTTCAAAGGCGACGCACCTCATTTCGTTTTCATTTGAATTTCACATTCATTTCAAAGGCGCCGAAAAAAAATAAATATTGTTTTTCATTGATTTAAAACAGAAAAAGTAACAAAAAAGCAACGATTTTTTTATATTTCTTGATTTTTTTTATATAATCGTTAATATATAAGACACCAAAAACTCATTTATCCCATATAAATGCATGTAAAATTAATGGTGGTCCAGCCAGACCTTTCCGACCGTTCGAAGGTGAAAAAATATCCGACCGACGGAGGGATAATAACAATAAATATCCTCTCTTTTTATTTCTGTAACTTATATATTGTAAGTACAAGTTATATTAATGATATACTTTAATTGTTTATTGTTAGTTGAGAATGCTATATTTTACCACAGTTCGCTTCAAGCAACCCTATAGTGGGTCGTACTTGGTAACTTGTTATCAGTTACTAGTGAATCATAATACCGAGGTGTTATATAACAAAATAATCAAATGTGCCCGATATAACAGATTTTCATAATAAAGTGAGTTAAATATTTGTAGCCTCCCCTCCTTATGATTACCATTGGAATAGAAACCAATGGTATCATAACCAATAGGATACGTCCACTTAGTTAAGATCGGGGTATATAACTCACATCTATTATTATCCAATACAGATACTTATCGCATGTCTTCTATCAATATAACATGTAGTGTAAAAGTATAAATAAACATCCGTTATGATTATCAATTTGTTGTTTACCTGCATATTCATTAAACAATTATTAAATAGTGTTCACTCCGACGATTCACATACTAGTTCTGAATTTATTTCAGAACAGTTACGTAAACAATCTGTAAATTTAAC